GCTGGCTGCCAGGACGGCGGCCGCGCTGGCCGCCGAGCAGGAACGCCTTCGGTCGCTGGTGGCCACGCAGCTGGCTCCGCCACCAGCCCGGCGCGGCCGTGGTCGCCCTCCCGGGTCCCTGAACAAGAAGCCCTCGCTGCGACTGCAGCAACAGCAGCAGCAGGAGCGCGCCATCCGATCGGGCGCCGCCCTGGCCGCGGCGCTGATGGCCAACCTGCCGGACGGCTGGTACATCCGGAGTACTCTGCCCCGGCGTCGGCCCCTCGGGGCACCTGCACCTCCGGCAGATCCGCTGAATGGCCGCATTGAGCGAGCCTACCTGGCTTGGTATGCGTCGGTGGTCCATGGTCCGCCGGCTGATCTTGACGACCCCGCCGGCACACACGCGTCTCCCAAGCCGGAGCTGCCGGGACCGACCTTGGAGGCCATCCCGCCAGGGAGGTAGCCCCTTGTCGGTCCACCGTGCTCCTCCTCCCTCTCCCGGAATAGACTTCGCCGGCAGCGAAGAACTTCACACTGGCGGCCCCTGGCTGAGCGTTGCCTTTTCTTCGACACACCGGGGTGGTGTATTTTTGTGGCATGTATGCCGCGAAAGGGAGCGAAGGGGGGGGGGGGGGGGGGGGGTCACCGCTCGAAGTGCTCGACAACCAGACCAATGAGCTGGGGCTTGGTCATGCGGGGGTGCTCCACGCCGATGCTTTCGAGGAATTGCTTGAGCATGGGCACGGTTAGCTTGCTCAGCGTGCCGGCGCGCCAGTGCTCCTCCACCGATGCGGGCTCCGCCGTGGCGCGGGTCCTTTTGGCCGTGGGGGCGGCGTCGACAGCGGCGGCGCGCCGGCGCCCGGCCCCGGTCGCAGGCGGCACCTGTAGCGAGGCATTGGCCAGCTGGTACTGGTCCAGGTGCTTGCTCAGGGTACGTAGTGCCGGACCGGCCAGCTGCTCGATGGCCTCCAGGGCCGGGCGTGTGCTATCATGCGTAACCTCGACGGATGTCTGGCCCAGGGCCAGTGCATGCAAAGTCGAGTAGAGCAGAGTATTGGCTGCCGGCATCGAGCGAGAGTCAGTCGACAGCCCAACCGGGAGGAGGGCAGGGGAGGGGGGGGGGGGCGGGGAACACTCCGGCGGCACGTCAAGTAGGATGGCAAAAGGGGGGGGGGGGTACGCACCAGGATTGGGGAAGTCATCAATGGAGAAGGTCCCCTGGATGAGGCTGTCAGCCACCGTGGCCACGGCCGACGCGACGGCCTCCTCCTCTATGGGTAGGGGGGAAAGGGGAGGAATCAGAATACGATCGGGAGGGGGGAAAGAAGCCGGGCCAGGAGGCGCAATTCCCAGGCAGACGCCAGACGTACCGGGCACCGGGGCCACGGCCTGCACCGGGCGGACATCCTCCAGATAAGGCAGAGATGCAAAGTAGAAGCCACACCGGTCGGCTGGCAGGCCTCCGGGCGGGGCCGGGATTAGCAGCGCCAGCGCCGGGGGGGCTGTGCGTGTCGAATACAGCACCACGGCAGCCAGGCCACGGGCAGCCGTGCGCCGGAGCAGGGCCGCCAGTACCGCATCGGACCCGGCCACGTCGGCCTCGCAGCCGGTCAGGAACTGGGTGGCCCGGTACAACAGTGACATGTCCACCTCGGCCAATGGCCGGAAGCCAAGCAACGCCAGCCCGGTGCCCAGCTGCCCCGAGCCAACCAGGGGGGCCTGGATGCCTGCCGGGGCGGAGGCCTTGGCCGGGCCGCGCGCATGTCCGGCATAGTGCGCCAGTAGGACGGACCGCAAAGGCCGGTCCACGTACTGGGTGATTCCCGGCCCGGGGATCAGCAGCCGCGACCCGGGGTCCGTTTCGTCGGATCCGACGACCAGGGTCCGCTGGGCATCCCGCGCGGCCACCACCTCGCGGACTCCCGTGTCAGGGTTCTTTTGTTGTTGGCGGTGGTGTTGTGGGACATGTCCATTGGGCTTTGTCAGTGGAATGCCTCTTCCATGGCCAGGCGTGAATTCGGTACAAGCACGGCGCAAGCACGGCGCAAGCACGGCGCAAGCACGGCGCCCGGGTGGAGGCCAGTCAACACGCACCGTGATATGATATCGACTCTGATTGACGACCGGCTCATTGGTTCGCATGTCCACATACTCATAGGTTGGCTTCCGACCTGGCGTCAACAACGGGTATCTGCATGTCCGGCGGGTGGAGGGGGGGGGGATTTTACGGGGAGGTGGATGGGTGTGATTTGCGAGAACCGCCAGGGGAAGCAACGCGCATGGAGCCGAATGCGCATGGCAGCCATGTTGCAAAGAGGAAGGGGAGGGGGGGGGGGGCAAATAGTGTGAACATGGGGCAAAGGGGGCAGTGGTCAGGCAAAAATGCTTTGTAGGCGTACAGCTGCACCGAAATGCATACCGACGGTGACAGAACCAACGGCAGCGGCGGGGAGAATCCCTTGCGGCCCTGGCGCTGGCGAATGGCCACCAGCATGCGTTCGATACGCTCCGGCACGGAGACCATGCCCGGAGCGCCGGGCTCCGGCCCGACTGGTGCCTCGAGGAAGGTCCCATAGAAGGCGCCGAAGTCAAAGGCCTCGCCCCCGGGCGGGTCGAGTGGCATCAATTCCAGGGCGATGCCCAGCTGGGCCAGATCGGCTGCTCGGATGGCTGCCTCGCGATCGAGACGAGCCTCTTGAGCCCGGTCGCCCACCGGCGCATGCGGCCGAGGATCATTCGTGAAGAGGAGCACCCGCTGCCGGCCGAGACGCCGGGTGGCCGATGCCCGGCTGAACAGCCGCCCGCAGGCATCCAGCACCCGGGCAAGCGGCATGCACCCTGGCTGGGATCCCTGCCCGGCCTCGGTCAGTGGGGGGAACTCCTGTTCGAAGCGAGACCGGGCCCCGGTGCCCGGGGCACACCCAGAACCGGCGGTGCTGGCCTGAAGGAGCGAGAGAAAGGCCCCGCCAAGCATGGAGGAGCCGGACTGCGCCAGGAGACTGTCCCCAGCGAGGCGAGCAGGGCTGGACAGCGCATCGCCAGGGGCCGGCAGCTTTGCCGGCCGCTCGGCCCCCTCGTCGGTCAACAGGGACTCCAGTCGGCGAATGCGCGTCACATCCGCCACATCCAGGTCCAGCAAGACCGCGGCACCGGAATCCGCGCCAACATCCTCCGAGGACCGGGCGCCTTCCGGGGCTTGTGTATTGAAAAGAAGGACCCCAGCCAGGTCATTGGGTGCCGAGGAAATGCTGTCGCGAATGACCCACAGAGCGCAGAGAAGCGCGTTGTGGGCTCCCGCCGGGGTGCCCATGCGCATGGTTGGGCCGCAGTCGACCGCAAAGATGGTCGCGTCAGCTCGATTGAGCTGTGTGCCGGCAGCCAGGGAGCGGGGGGAGAGGGGTCAGTTGCCTGGCAAGCATCATGCCGACCCCCAGTAGGGCAAGATCAGAGGGGGTGTACCTCGCTGGCGGAACGCCCCTCGCCCGGGAGCTCGTCAGCGTCATCGTCCGCATCACCGGTCTGAAAGCTGGTGGCCACATTTTCCACCCGAAGGACAGAATAGAAGCTGGCTCTGCTGGGGGCCGTGGCGTCGGAGGTTTGGATAGCTGCCACGTCCACCTGTGCCGGGACGGCAAAGTCCCAGTCAGCATCGAAGTCACCCTCATCCCCGACCGGGGGATCTGCCCAGAACCCATCCATCCTGCCGATCAAGACGTGTGTGTGGGGGGGGGTATGGTCGAAAGAAAGAGGGGGGGGGGAGAAAGCGGGGGGAAAGAGAGAAAGAAAGAGGGGGGGAGAAAGCGGGGGGAAAGAGAGAAAGAAAGGGCAGGGCGAGGGGGGATTTCATGGGGAATGGCTTGCAGGGAGGCTGGCCCGCATGCACCGTGGCCCGAGATGGCTATGCTCTCCCCGCTACAGCCCCCCCCCCCCCCCCCTGCCCCCGTCCCGGCCTCGATCGCGAAAGTGCACGGTAACGAGGAATTTAAATAGGCGCTCTACGTTGGCACACTGGAAGCGCCACCGAGCAAGTTTTCGTGGGTGTATTGGCGCCGCTCGTCGGGAAGAGTCCCGCGTGTTGTTGCGCGGTGGGGATTGTGGGGGGCGGGAGGGGGGACATAGCGCTGCTCGATCGGCGAAATCCGCACGCAGTGGTCTTGCCCACAAGGAGGGCCGCAACACATCTCGCCATCCCCGACACAACATCAATGTACAGGCCTGACGGGAAAAAAACGTCCCGAAAGAGCCTGGCCCCCTCGAAGTGTGCATTTCTAAGGGAAGTGGGGGCGTGTGTGCGTGCGAGTGTGTTTGTGTGCACTACGTCTGTTTGAATGCCGCGTCCCAGCCTCTCTCTCTCTCCCTCTTTCTCGCGTCCTCTCTATCTCTAGCATACACCCACACACGGCGCAGGGCGAAGCAGCAAAGCCGGAGGGCCCCTCCGCCGGGACGGTGGCCGACACGGCGGCTGGCTGGTGCCAGTCGGGGCCTCACCGACGGCGCCGACGACCGAGGCCATCCTCATCGCTGGGCAGGACCCCCGGGTGCCCCTCTTCGGACACCGGCCAGCGGTAGGTCTGCTCGATGAGGCGCGTGACAAGGCTCACCCGGCGGCGAAGCTCCCGGCCGAAGGTGTCAGCCAGGGCGCCCTCCCGGCGAATGCGGGCCTCGTCAATCAGACGCCGGCACACCGCCGGGTCGCCGGCGAAGGATTCCCGGCCGCCGCCGACCACCCGGCGCCCGGGGCCGACACTGGCTCGATCATGGCCAAAGTGCCGCATGAACCCCTGGTCCAGGGGCAGGTCCAGCTCGTGCGGGGCATTACGCCCGGAGGACAGCCCATGGATTTGGGTTTCCATGACTCGCGCCGTCAGGAGCATGGCCTTGGTCCGCTGACGCGGGTCGGCCGGCGGGTCCTCCAGGTAGGGGAAGGCAAGAGACCGGAGAGCCGCCTGGGTGGATGGAGTGATGGACGGGCGCAGGGCCGGTGGCGTAGGACCATGGTCCTTCTGCCCGGAGGAGGTGGCCGCACCCTCCTCGGCGGTGGCCACCGCGCGGAAGTAATCGGCCAGGCGCCGGCGCTCGACCTCCGACAGCTCGGGCTCGCATTCGCTGACAAAGCGATTGCGGAAACTCAGGGACTTGAGCATGGCCAGTGCCTGGCGCGAGGGCCCGGTGGCGGTGTCCTCCCCGGGGCCGGTGCTCTGCAATCGAGCATGCAGGCTTTGGACCTGGCTGCGGAAGAGCGTCCAGAGCGACGGCCGCAGGGTGATCCCCTGGCCCGGGGGGGCCGGCCCCGGGCCCAAGGTGGCGCTGGAGGGCTCCAGGAACTCGTCCACATCCATGTGCACCAAGAGGGCATAGCTGTCGCCGGCCTGGTAGAGGCAATCATTGAGCAGGACCCGCTGGCCGTAGTAGGCCACGCGGCCCTGGCCAAGCACGCGCTGGTGGCGCCAGTCATGCAGGACCACCAACGGGCGGAATTCCCGCTGGCGATCGGCCGCAGCCGCGGCCCCTTGCCGAGTGGCCTCCTTGCCGCGAGCCGGGCCATCCACCTCGGGCGACCAATTCCATGGCCAGGAGTCGCCGGGCGGCAGGCCGGGCCAGGCACCGGTGAGTGAGGGGTCCTGCCCGGGTGGCGAGCTACCGGCTGGCAAAAGTTCCCCAGCCGGCACCGACGGCCAGCGTGCATAGAAGTCCAGCACATCGGCCACATTTTGGTCCCCGGTATCGGCCACATAGGCATGCACCTGGCGGACGCCCACCATGCGGTGGTACTCCAGCCACTCGATGTAATGCCGGGCCAGCGGCCGGCGCCCGACACGGTCCCCGGCATACACCGGCCCCAGGCAAGCGGCCACCGGGACAAATGCCGGGGCCGGGGGGACCGATGTGGGGCTTTCCCCGGGCCCGAGGTCCAGCGACCGGTCCAGGGCATCCAGCCATTGGTGAAGCTCGGCCGAGGCGGCGGCCGCGGGTGGATCGAAGGCCGGCGCCCGGACTTCCAACCCATCCACCAGACGAACATGCCCCTCGGGGGTCCGAGCCTCGGCCAGCAGGCGCAAGCCGGCCGACTCGCCGTCTTCCTCCCCGTCGGAGTCTTCCTCCTCGTGGGGGTGACTGTCGGGATCGCTTTCCGAGGGGGCGCCACTGCTTTCCAACTTGTCAGCATGATCCCCACGGCGGCGCCGGGCTCGAGCTGGCTCGGGCTCCGGGAGATCACCGGCCTCGAGGAGCTCCAGCAGACGGTGGGTCCCGCGAGGCATCAAGGCCAGCAGGTCCACCCGGACGCCGTCCGCCGGCCAGGGCGAGACACGGGGCCCGGGCCCGGTGTCGCTGGCGGCGGCCGAGGCCAGGCCGGCCAGCGTGTCGGCCTGCTGCCGCGACAGGGCACAAAAGACCAAGCCCACGCGATAGATGTGGGCTGGCTGTGGCTGGCCCAGCAAGCTCAGTCGGGCCTCGGCCAGCAGGGTGACAGTCCCGCCCGAGGGCACAGCCACGCGTACTCGGCAGCCAAGGACAAACCCCGGCGGCGGGGTGTTGCCGGTGGAGTCCCAGGCACCGGGTGGAGACCGGCGCCGGCCCCCGGCAACCGGCTCCCGCGACGCATGGTCGGCCCGGCCCAAGTGCTGCATGTCACGCAGGCGTTCGGCATCCAGGTGCTCCTGGGCCCAGGAGAAGTATTCGGCCACCTGGAGCATGCGCTCGAACCACGTCTGGCGCACATACTGCATAACCACGACCACCGACGCGCCGCGCGGATCGTGCAGCGGCCCCCCGCTGGGCCCGGGCGGGCCCGTCTGACGGATACCCCGACGACGGGTCAGGGCCACTTCCGGGTCCGGCGGCTGGAGGAAGGCCCGCTCGGAGGCCGGAGACCGTTGGCTCAGGAGATAGGCCCCGGAGATGGTGAGCTCGCGCTCGGCCGTCCCTGGCCACAAGCGCTCCCAAGCGTATGACGAGGCGGGTGGATTAAACAAGTGGTCGTAAATGACCGCGTGCGATCCGGTTTGGGAGTACGTGGTGATGGGGTCGGCTGATGTCGGGTGGCGTGGGCATGCGTGTGTGTGTGGGGGGGAGGGGGGGTAGCACGAGTGTTAGTCATGGTCGCGAGCACTTGTGTGAGATTGCGCGAAAATGCGGAGGAGCCGGACTGGAGGTGCCGCCGGCGCCCGGGAAGGGGGGACATGGACATTGGGTCCCGGGTGCGAACGGCACGCGGACACCACGCACAGTACTCCTCGTCGAAGATGGAGCCATCGCCCGGGCGAGAGGCAATATGCTCAGCGGCCGGGTCCGGGCCTGGAGGCTCCACCTGCTGGGCCTTGTCACTGGGGGCCATCTTGCCCTCTGACGGCCGAGGGGTGGCGGACTTGCCGTTGGCCACCGAAGACCCTGAATCTTTGGAAGGGGGACTTTTGGAAGTTGGGGCCTTGGAGGGTGGGGACTTGGCGAAAGGCGGGGCTTCGGTCGGTGGTGCCCGAGTAGTGGCCGGGGCCTCGGTCTCAAAGCCGGATAGCTCCTCAAACCCACCGGCCGTCGTCAGCAACTTGTCGATCTTATTCTTTGCCGGGCCACCAGTTTTGGTGGCCAATGTGGCTGTCGTCACGCTGGCAGCCTCATTCCGAGGTGCCTGCTCCGAGTCGGGGCTGAAGAGAAAGGCCACCGCCAGCAGGACAATGGCCACCAAGCCCACGGGAAAGAGGAGGAAGTTCTTGGTGCGGACAATTCGCCGCCACCAACGATTGCCCCGGCCGCGGCGCTTCGGATGGACACTCGGCGAGGCGTCCAGGAAGAAGCCCATCGAGTCGCGCTGGTCGCCCATGCTCTGCGGCTGCCGCGTGGCCAGCCCCTTTCTCCGAGAGGGGCGGCAGGGGGCGAGGAGGGCGTGTAGGAGAGGGGGGGGGGGGGAACCGCCAAATCAGCGGTATGTCAATCGGCCGGGAGCAGATCAGGCGAACAGGGGCACTGCGGGCAGGAGAGGCGAAGCTTCATGGGTTTGTGGATATCGATGGAGATGTGGGCTGTACCGACAGCCCGGTGGCTCGGGGGTGGCTCTTATCTGTTGTCGGGGCCGGATGCTGGTGCGGGCTGGGAGGGAGGGAGGGGGGGTGGCACCGCAGGCCGCGGCATTGCGGGCTAAGTTGCGCCCTACCGACTGGGCTCCGCCCCCGCGCGAACAGAACGTTGGCGCCTCAAGGGGGAAGGGGCGGAGGGGCCGGGAAAGGGGGCATGGCTGCCGGGGGCATGCTCGATCCCGGACGGCGGCGATCTGGAGCACCAGCACCTGGGCATGTCTGGCAATCTCGCGCCCCCTGTGTCTGCCAAACGCCTGCCGGTTGCCTTTGTCCGTCTCCCCCGCCGGCGGGTTCATGTCCGACCCTGGCATGCCGAGTCCCGCTCCGACACTGCGCATGGTCCTGGGGGCGGGGAATTCGAGCAAAAGCCCCCCGGGAGCCGGGTATGGTTGTTTTTTTTTTCGCCACACCATCATGCCCCCAGTGGATGAGTGTTTGGCCGCGGCCGTCGGGCTCCGGTGGAAAACGCCCCGCCCGGCAAGGCGCATCCGCGGGGACGAGCGGCGCGCGCACGCCGCACGGCCTCTCCCTCCATCTTCTTCATTTCCTGCGCCCCATTTGCCGATCTTGTCTCACCATTCCAGACAAATACCCGGGGCAGGAGGGGCCCGAGCGGGGCAGGAGGCGCGAGGGGCCAGGACATCTCTCGCCCCCAGGGTGGAAGCTCGGTCGAGGAGACCACCCGCGACGCCAGGTACAAGGGCATCCAGCTCCGGGGCACAGTGGCCACGAAACAAACAGCCATGAAGTCACATTGACACCGATGGCCCTCGATCGTTAACCGACACACACGCTTCTCACAACCCTGCACACACTTGCATGCACTTGCAGACACTTGCCTCGCAAGCGGAGGGCAAGACAAGAGAAAAAAAAAAGGAAGAAAAATGGGTCACCCCTGGGGTTCACACGCGCTCCGGCCAGCGGGTTTGCCAACAAAAAAGAGCTCCCGATCCGGGAATTGAACCCGGGCCTCCCGCGTGACAGGCGGGGATTCTCACCACTATACTAATCGGGATTGATCTGCGGGTAGGCACGAAATCGAGCGTCTTGATCCTGTGCCCGGGTCACCAGGCGGCTGGTCGCCTGATCCCCCTGCCGAGACCGCCTTTCCCTAAATCGAAAATCAGCCGTCCAGTTACCCCGCCAATACAGCCCACAACCGTGTGGGGCCGAGCCCCGGTTGGCCGACGTCACTCGCCCCCTCATGCGAGGCATCCCCCCGCAAAAGAAGAAAAAGAAAAGCCCATGCCAGCCATGGTGTTCTCGCTCCCCAGCCCCCTCAGGCTTCTGCTTGATTGTGGGCATAGAAAGACATCGGGATTTGGGTTAGGCCACAGCTCGGCGCCGGAGGCCGCATTTTTTCTTTTATTTTATTTCCCCATTTTCCCCTCCGCTCCCTCCTCAGCTCATGCGGGGGGGGGGAAACATGAATAGCCTCCCTGATGATGGTGGAGGGTTATGAGGGCCGGGTGAAAGGAGCCCCCCGGAGGGGGATGGATGGTCTCGCGGATCATTCTTCAGGAACCGCGGGTCGGAACATGGGTGGTCGCAATGGAGGAGGCCCTTCGGTCAATGGGCTCGTGTGAAATTACTCGCCGTCCATCGTATTGGTGGTGATCTCATGCGCTTCGGGGATAATGGTGGCGCTCTGGGAGCAAGTGGCATGGAGGGAAAGCGAGGGAGGCCATTTCGCGCGTATGCTTGTTGCCATAACCATAGTAGCGTCCGTGGGAACGCGGCTCCTCACACCCGGGCGGGGAGAGCCACCAGCGACCGTGACTCTGGAGCATAGGGCGTGGGGGCGGGAGAGAACGGTGGCAGAGGGCGGAAAGGGGGGGGCGACTCCAATTGTCGGGGGGGGGGGGGGGAGAGGGCATTTCCGCGGATGTATTATAGGAGCACAGGCCATGTGGACCGTGCGCCGGGGGTGGAGACAGCTCGGGCAGGGGCGCATTTTGGGGTAGAAACAAAAATAAAGGGAATAAGCCGGGTGAGTGGCACCGCCTCTTCGAGTTGACACACGACCACTGGCCCCGGTCATTGCGGCGCGCATGGCAGACGCCTGGCTCCTTTCCTCCGGGACTCTCCCCCGAGGCGGCACCCGCCCTGCTTTTGTGTGCACTTCTGTTCGCCTAGAGGGTGTGTCCCGCCATGGAGGCATATTCCTGAAGATACCATGAAGATGGCGCCCGTTGTGGGGGAGGGAGCCTGGGCTTGGCCGCGGATGATTGGGGCAAGGGGCGCGGGGGCAACCACTGTGTAGGCCCGACATAAACTACATCCGGGTCGAGGGGCAGCCCATGTAGCTGACGGACCCGGCAAGCATGGTTGACTCCCCCCGCCCCCCCCCCCCTCGTCTAAGGTGCATTGCTAGTGGGGCGACCGCCGTGGAGGGTAATACGCGGGCGAGGGCATGGCAGACTCCACGGAGCGAGGTCGGGGCAGCCGTGCACTCGACCGATATCTACGGGCCGGGAATTGCCTGCAGCCGCGCGGGGGGGGGGGCCATTGAGCGGTTGTGGGTGCGTGTCCCTGGTTGGTGGCTGCCCACCCGCCCGGGCCCATCGGGGCTTAGCAGAAATATAAAAGTGCAAACTGGCGGTCCCCCTGCCTGGCCTGGGTCTAGTATCTTGCCACGGTGATCTGGATATCATCGGACCTCCCCTCTCTACACACACGCCCCCTACACCGCCCCGCTTCTGTCGCGCGCTTGTCCGTCCGCTGCCCTCCGCTCCTGGAGAAAGCCCCCTGCACGCAGGTAGGATCGCCCCGCCTGCCACCTTTTGCCCCTCGATCACTCCATGGTCGCCTTTCGCCGCACACTCCGCGAGGCATGTGCCTTCACTGACACCTTTGCGGCCCTCCGGCGACCTCCATTATCCGGCCCTCCTGGCAGTCAGATCTTTCATCATGCGTAGCTCCTCTCTCCCGATGGCCCTGATGCTCGGTGCGTACTGACGGATGGGTCGCCATGTGTCATCGCCCCGTGCCCATGCTCGCGGCCTTGTCCGCCTCCTTCGCTCGCCCGCGCCCCCCCCCCCCCCCCCCCCCGCCCCGCCCCCCGCTAACATGGCAGCCCCACTTATTTGGCGGCACCCATGTCCCCCTCAGCCACGGTCTTTGTTGGCGCCCTCGGCACCGCGGCCGCGCAAAACTTCTACGACGGCGAGCCGTGGAAGAACTACGTGCATCTGATTGGCCCCCTGCCGGTGTCGAAGTTCGTCAAGGATCCCAGCCCCTGCTCCAGCATTGGCCTGAATGTTCGCGAGCGCTACATCGAGGAGCATTGCACCTGGGGGCGGAATGAGGCTTCGGAAATCTGTGCCGAGCAGTGCTACAACTACATCTATGATGTCCTCAACTGCCAGGTGTTTGACGGCCTGCGTGGCGAGTGCTTCGCCGGGCTGGAGACCATGCGGATCCGCTGCGCGGCCGAGGCCCCGGAGAGCTTTGCCACCCATGCGGCCGACGGCACGCGCTTCACCTGCAGTGATGGCTTCAGCATCCGCGCGGGCGCCCAGTCGGTGGCTGCCGTGGCGGCGCTGGCGGCCGCGATCATGGCCTACCTCATGTAAGGCGCCCGGGCCCGAAGGCGTGCGTGTCTACTTTGTAATGGGCCCCGACGCGGACGCGGTGGGAGCGCCGGGGGAGGACGTGCGCGCGCGCGCCGTCCATTGTGCACGGGCCCCGTGCTATGCGCAGCATGTCGCGCCCATCCCCTTCGCCATGCTCGCGCGTGCGCCCATGCGCGGATGACCAGGCGACCATCTCCGTCAACCGGGCCCGGGTAGGCCCTCCCCCCGCTGTGAGTGCCCATTACTTTTGGAGCATCCAGCGAGGGGAGAGAATACGCCCACGACACGCGCGCCCTGCGACTGCGCCTCTCCCGATTGCCCCCTCATGTGTGAGTGTATCTCGACATGGCCACTCGCTCGCCCCCTCCTGCCCCGTTTGCGCTCGGCGTCCATCATGCCTCGCGAGGGTACCAGGAATCCGAGGCATGCGCATGGGGGGGGGTAGGGCGCGCTGTGTGTGGCACTTGGCTGCGTTAAAGAAAAAACAATACACGACGAGCGAAGATCCGCATCCATTTGCCCGGCCAGTCTTCATGGCATGGGATCATCCCCTGTGCCTGTCTCTCTCTCTCTCTTCCGATGCACCTAACACTCCCTGCCCCAGATACATACATATAAGTAAGAGCACGCATTATCCGGGGAGTAGCCGCTTGGATGGGGGGGGGTCTGCGTCAGTGGAGGACGCGCTGCTGGGGGGGAGTGTAGGGCCAGCCCATCCTGAGAGAGAGGGGTCTCCGTCCTGAGGGGGAGAAGACAGTCGAGCACACTCCGCACATATGGGTTGGTAACTGCGCGCCCGGACAAGGGTCGAGGCCTACTCCCCTATGATGGCATAGCGCGCCTATGGTTGGATGAGCCTCCCTTTGGGGGTGACTCGATTTTGTGGTGGTGGCAGGGCGGTGGGAGGGGGGGGGGGCGCCCCTCGGGTGTTCATGCATACCCCCTTTTGAGGAGGGACGATATGGCCGGGCAGGTGCAGCGGAGCATGCCCAGTGCGGGGGTCATATCCAAACAGCAGGGAGGCCGAGTAAGGGGGCGTAAGTGGCCAGAGTGACCGTAAGGAGCCAACGGAGAAGCCCCTGAAAGGGCCATGATTGGGCAACAAAACGACATGTCCCACCCCAAGGGGGATCTTCAGATGTATTGCAACTTGGGAACGTGATAGAGAGAGAGAGAGGCGCGGAAGGAAGGAAGGAGCGGTCGTCTGCTTGTGTTTCTTATGTATGTCGGAAGGGTCACGCGTTCGGTATGTTACAGATGAGGGAGGGGGGGGGGGATATAGCTCAGGGCATAAGTGTTTGATGGAGCGATCGGGGCGAGTATAAGCCCCGGCTCGAGAGTGATGGCAGGCTGCAGGCACAAATGCAAAGGAGCATGGTAGGTGACTGCCTCGGGTCAGGCAGGAGCGACCACAGTGAACAGGCACACCCACACACACACACACACACACACACACACACGCACATATGCGCACACGCACACACACACACACACACGCATACATCCAGGCCCCGGATCATGCCCCGTCACTCGATAATGAGCTCGGCTTGCTCATAACCCGGGGCATGGATGCGCCAGGTGTCCCATGTGTCCTGCAGGAGGCTGATGTACCGCTCGTGGTACTCATCCACCAGGCCCTCGGGGACTGGCTCCCCGGAGATGGCATACTCATCGGGCACCACCAACGGAGAACCGTAGACCACGGTCAGGGGGCCCTGACGGGGGAGGAGACTGAAGAAGCGCCCCCAGAAGAGGAGGAACGGCATCTTCAGGGTGCGCAGTAGGAAGCGGCTGGCGGCCGGGGCCGGCTTCCACGTGCGGAAGGCCGCCTCCTCGCCGAAGCACACCATGGGCACCAGGTCGCAGCCCTGCTGCAGGGCCAAGCGGATGAAGCCCTTGCGCTTGCGCAAAAACACCCGGGTAACATGGGGCATGTCCGGGTCGATCATGAAAATTTCGGCCGACCCGCCGGGGAACACCTGCACACTCTGACCGGAAGTGAGGGCCCGAACGGCGTAGCGCAGGCTGGCATCGATCAGGCCACAGAGGACGGCGAATTCGCGGTTGATGGGTACCCGGAAGATGGGCGTGGCGCCGAGGATGCGGTAGGGGATGCCATAGCGCGAGGCCCGGCTGGGCTTGGGGAGGGTGGGATCTTGACTGGGCGGCGGGAGGGGGCCCTGGCTGGCGGTCGGCCGGGAGGAAGCGGGCCGCGGCTGGGAAAGCACCCCCCCGGCCCGGGTAATGAGGGTCGTTTCGGTCAGCGGATCGGCCGGATGCACGGTGTCGGCCGTGGGGAAGAGCCAGCCCCATAGGCCGCCATATTGCACCAGGCGGCTGAGAACCAAGATGCCGTGGGGGTGCGAGGCAAACACATATCGGCGGTTGGGATTCAAGCGAGTCGTGCGGATGGCCGTGAAGGGCATGTATGTGTGGATGAGACCCCAGGCCGGGGACTCCCGGATCCACGAGGGGGCCGACCGGTCCGAGCGAGTCGGCGACAGGGACTCCCGGAGTCGGAGATACAGCAGGACCGGCAGGGTGGCCAGGCCTAGGGCCGCCGATCGGCGCGCGAGCATCCCCTCGAAGCCGACAAACAGCCACCTGGTCCCGAGCAGGTACACCAGGAAGATGCTGACCACAAAGAGAGGGCCCCATAGGAGATAGTGCGAGAGGAACATCATGAGGGAGGTTTCGGTCCGTCGGCGCCGGGAGGCCTCGGCGCGAGTGTGCGTCACGCGCATCAGCCCGGAGTCCAGGTCCTCGTAGATGACACGCGTGCCGGGGGCCTGTGCCGGCAAGCATGGCAAGGTGCCGTGCAGCATGCCGTAGTTGGGGCTCGGCTGGGCGGCCGCACACTCCGGGGCCAATCCCCCGGCCAGGGACTTCACCGGGGCCAATGGCCGTGCATCCTCGGCCGAGGGGGGGAGCGCATAGTCGGCCTCAGCGGAGAAGGCTCGCCCGCGCGGTAGGCCGGCGGGAGCAGGCGGCGGCATAGGGTCCTTCCGGTGGGGCGGCGTGGCGGG